CAGATCCAACGTTGCGTAAAATTTATAAGCAAGTCCAGTTTAAAAAACCGGGGGATCAAATAGTAAAGGAACCCAACCTACCGTCAGACACATCGGCGCTGACAGATACGTGGCTGGCATATCTTAACAATAATACACGAAGAGAAACGAATGAGTGTATTCAACCTCAAAAAATACTTTCTAGAGTACCAGGACTATTTAATAGCCTTATATTTTTATTTAATCGTAATCTGTCGACTGATGAGCTGAGAATGATGTTAAAAAATTTAGAATACCTGTAAAAGTGTAAAGAGCCAGAATAAACAGAAAACATACGAAAGTTGCGTACATAATATAGAAACGGGGAATGTATGTACATATTTTCGCAAACATTTAAGAAAAACGTGTGTGTACACCTGAAATTAAACTGGGTAAGTCATATTAATATGCACTATATTGTAACGGACAACTAAGAAGTCGGCTACTTGCATCTAGAAGGTAACCGCGAGAACGCCCATTACAGGCCCCTAATACAAAATTCTAACCAGAATATAAAAATAGTAAAGCTAGTATACCAATATTGTCTGTATAGAAAGACAGGGTACACAAAAATGTACGAGTATAAATATATACAGGAAAAAGCGTCATTTTTCATTAATTTGCGGCCCTCGGACGAGCCGCGAGGGAACAACAAATTATACGAAAAGAAAATATAAAATAACTGATAACTGCTGAACTAAAAGACATTCTGGCAATTAACTTACTTCCTTATAAAGTAACAATACTAATAAAATACGTACAAATTTTTTTTTCCTTAAATTTTTGTGGTCCCTGGACCATACAAGATGCGCGCGTGGCATTCTCTAACAAAAAATATAACCAAAAGAATTAGTTATAAAAATAATAATAATAATATTAAGAATGAGATAATAAACAGGTGGCGTTACCAAAACAAAAGCGAGGCGCTACAGTCTTTTAAAATCATACAACACGTTTAAACATGACAAAAATTAGGCTGTAAGCATTTAACATGAAGGGTTAAATAGAAAAAAATAAATAAATCGAAAGGCAGGGAAGAGTCCGAAAAGAATATCGACCAGATTTTAGGTAACGCAAATTTATTGTTGTTACTGCTAGACACTATGATTCCTTAAAGCAATCACATTTGTGGTGTTTAAAGACCACGCATTCCTTCCTCGAAGATAACCTAAGAATACCCCATTACCCTTAGAAGTTCCTCCAAAATCCTTCCGGCACGGACCTGGAGCAATCGAAAGCAATTCTCATAACCTGGCGAAGGCCCACAGACTTTGCAGTGAACTTCCATAGCTGACGCTAGGATCCGGGAGAATAAAAAAAACAAACAACGCATGGAAATCCACAAAAAAATCAACGTAACGGATTACACAGATGCTAGGGTGGCGTTAGAGAAATAACCAACAATGCTACTGAAAATAACACCAACAATTTCCGCTGAAATGAACCAACCCAGCACCTCATGGTGTGTGACACTCCAAAGACCCAGTAATATTACGGTGGTGACAAACCATCAGGATAATTCAGCAAGAACAAAAGAAAAAAAAAACAGAAAAAAAAAGTTGGGAAAAGTGGTCAAGTAGTCACCAACCCGGGCAAAGATAATGGCTACAATACGCAAAATAAAGCGTACGTATCGACAAAAAGCCGCCACACAAGCTAGCAAAAAGGGAGAGAAGAAAGTTCAAAACAATAATTGGAGTGAATGGGTGCCAGTGCCGTCGGATTATCGAAATCTATAAGGCTCCATCATAATTCCCTTTCCATACATGGCACACAAGAACGGAAGGAAGGGAGCGGAAAAATTTTACGAACAGAAAATCAGATGGACTAATTTAAGCCAATTGAGCATCTGACACAAGATTGACAATCTTTCCGGACCCACCTCTGTTGGAGTATAATAATAATTAAATATATTGATAAAATGCACTTATTGAATTACCGAGGAGAATAAGAAAATATAAAAGAAAAAAAAGAACAAATTAAGAATAGAAGGACGGAAAGAAAATAAATGAGATACGAAAATAGATGGTCAAGATAATGGTGAGGGAGATTCCAAATCCGAGGAAAAAGTANGAGGAGCGGCGTTGGCTCAGTGGTAAGTGTGCTTGTTACTGATACAACGCAGTTCTAGGGGTCGTGGGTTCGATTCCCGGTGAATGCAGATTTTTTTCAAAAACTGTTTTCATCGGGAAAAGTTCCTATGTAACCCCGGCTGTTTCGGGGCGGGTTTTTCCGCGAAATTTTCCTTCAGAGTAATTCCAGGGTTTTTTCCTTGCTCCACAGGTTTTCGGACCTGGGTGGATGCGAAACAGTGTTAGGGCTATCGGTAGGGATTAGCGGACTCGATGCCAGGCGTCGGGCAGGGATCGCCGACCTTACCGGCGAGGAGTGGCCCCTGAAACACGGGGCTTCTTCGGGGATGCTAATTAGCCTGGATCCGATGCTTTGGCAGAGAGCGCTGACTTAACCGGCGAGGAGTGGACGTTCTGGAATAATGGAGTCTTCTGCGGGGAAAGGCTACACAGTGGTGAGTGGACCCAATGCACCATCGGTGCAGAGAGTGTCAGGTTAACTGGCAAGGTGTTCCACCGAAGATACTTACACTGTGCCGATGGATTCAGGTAGGAGGCGAGGAAAAAGGTTTAGAGATGGGTGTGGCAATACACCCCCATACATAGGTGGTTAGTGGGTGTCCCTCGCGACTAGGCCAAGTAGGCTGTCGTGGTAACCCGGTATAAAAAAAAAAAAAAATAACGACAGAGTAAGGAAATACTAAGCATGCGGCCATAAGAAAGCGTAGTCGCAGTAAAATAGCAAAAAAAAAAATGTATGTATACTGTACAGCGTATGCGAAAATAGATATCTGTAAAGAGAGTGCCACACTCGCAACTGAAAATAAGCACACGGTTCTTGAATGGTATAATGCATTGGGTCGCGTCATATTCAAGTAAACCCCTTTTCAGGTACATATATGTGCATGAGCGTAGATACAGGAAAATAAAAACATAGATAGAACGTTAACAAAGACAACACAGCCAACCGCTCTCTTTTCTCTCCCCTCACTCTCTCTACTGCGGTTCTTAGAAGATGTGAAAAACAAGAATATACCCGGGGGAATAGAGAAGGATATACGAAATAATAAAACGTTACGGTGGCGTGTATCACCAAGCATACGAATACGAGGTAGTGCAAATAAAAGAAGAGCTGTCAGGCTGAAAGAGTTACGCGTGGACGGCGGCGGAAATATTATTAGTCACGGCGACGAAGTCGTTTGAATTGCTAAAAATGGGGGGCCCCTTAATACTAAATTTGGCTAGAATGCTTACAGGTAGAAAGTGCAGTTTTGTAGATGAAGGCGCAGCAGTGGGTGCAGGGACAGTGCAACCAATAATGCTACAGACCACAAAAAGACCAGTCGCGTCGCAAAACCAAGTACGCGTAGCGGTCAAAGGTGTATCTCTGGCAGCTAACAGTATGCAACGTCCTCGTGCATAAGAAGAGGAAAAAAAAATTAAATTAAATTATGCATAAATACATGTATCTAAGTTATGTTCGCTTATTGTAATTTAGTTACTATATTAACGAACAAAAACGTATTACGTAAAGACATCTAATAGGCTCGTAGCGTAGCCAATTTTAACAATAACACTAACAAAAACATTAAAATGATGGTTGAACCAACAATACGAGAATAAGTAATATTATACAATACATAGCTGAGTCTTTCTCGCCCTCCATATTATACATATATATATATAAGTTTATTTCGTTGATCTTCTGGGGCAAATGAAAACACTTAGTTTAAGCGACATTTCATCGACTGGTGTGCCGACCTCTTCAGGCTTTATTAACAATAATAAATTATTACAATGACTATTATAGACAACAGATACATATAATGTGGAACTGACAAATAAATTACCTTAATTTAAACCCTGAAAGACAATTTATTTATCGTATCGAGCAAATAGCTCACACGCAAGTCAAACTGGCAAAGGCCCCAACACCGCAATATACCCCGCTTTTATAACAAACACACACACACCCAAACACACACAAGTTTCGCAGTGCGATGACCCGAGCCCTCAGTTCACACATCACATTATCAGTATACAATTCTAAGAACGTACATAGTCTTTAAAAACGTACAGAATTAAAGAAACTTCGATAAGTGCGACTTAAATTATAAACATCTTCTTTCTTATTTATATTGTAAATGTTGTAGGTAATGTGTAACATTTTAGAGATCAAACGTTACAACAATAATTCGGCTCTTTGTCTAATATTTTTATATTATCCCACTCAAAATTATGGTTATTAGAAATTTGGTGTTAAGTAACTACCGATTCCGGTTTGTAGTTGTTTTGGTGTTCTCGTTTTCTCTCTTTTAAAGCTCTCTTCGTTTCACCTGTATATTTTGCTGAACAGTCACTGCATGAGATTTCATATACGACATTAGTATTATCCAAAGTATCAGTAGTATCTTTTCCCAACTGTACAATATGATTCAATTTTTTGTTTATTCTCGGAATTACTTGTATATTGAATTTTTTTAAAAAACGTTGTATCTTATCAAAATTATTTGGAAAAAATGGTAAGCTTAAAATGATTGTGTTTAAAGGTAATTGCTCTGGAATTTTCTCTGTAACATCATTACCATTTTAGAATAATAAACGAAAAAAATTTGAACAGTAACATTTTTTTGTTTCTTTGTTTATGATTTAAAAATACTTGAACTCCCCACTTTTAGTGTTATTATACGGATAATATCGACTCATACGGCTGATATACCTTACAAAAAAAAGATTATGGAATAA